CCCTATACTCTAAACCCCTAAACCCTAAACCCTAAACCCTAAACCCTAAACCCTATACGGTGCTTCGTTGAGTGCTCGGAAGCCTCAGACCGCTTCGCTCTGCCCATTGCAAAATGCTCTCAAAACCTCCTGGGCGGTGTTTGATCCTCTCATGATGAAACTTTTCCAGTATGCCCTGAATCAGCCGCTCCAGCATTGGATGCCAGAAGCCGTCCGAGGTCAGGTGCGCCAGGTCGCGAGCTTCCTCCGGACGGTAGAAGCCAGGCTGCAGCCCGACCAAGTAGAGCGACACCAACCTTTTCTGGACCTCCACAGAGTAGGGTTTAGGGTTTAGGGTTTAGGGTTTAGAGTTTAGGGTTTAGGGTTTAGGGTTTAGGGTTTAGGGAACTCCGTCACTTTCTTCCCTATTCTCACGTCCTCCAGCGACGCCCGGGGCTCCATGGCCCACCCGGCGGAAAGGAAAACAACAACTGCCAAAACATGCGCAAAGGGTTTAGGGTTTAGGGTTTAGGGTTTAGGGTTTAGGGTTTAGGGTTTAGGGTTTAGGGTTTAAAGCCCAAACCTGTTCTTACCAAGCCCCTGGCCGTCTGGTTGTTAGAAGATGCATTGGGTGCTTCTCCCTGCAGACAAAGCCCCGACCGAGATTTTACGATTAGGCCTTTGACAGTATAGAGAACAAGCTTCTGGGCTTGGAACTTAGCGGTTTCGACTGGACATTTGGACTTGCATTGGGTCTTGGAAATTCTTGCGATGGTAATGCATTCCCCTGCTGCTCCTGGTATTCGTCGCAGAAGTGATGGTGATAGTGCTGGTGGTGTTGGTGGGCTTGGTGTTGGTACTGGTGTTGGTGTTGATGCTGGTGTTGGCGTTGGCGTTGGTGTTGGTGTTGTAGTATTAGGAGCCGTGCCCGGAGTCTGAGTACTAGCAGTTACCAGAAGTAGCAGTAGGAGTAGAAGCAGGCGAAGAATCCAAGAAGAAAAGAAGAAGTAGACAATTGACGAGGAGGAGGTGGAGCAGCAGCAGCAGCAGCGGCAGCGACAGCCGTAGCAGTAGCAGTAGCAGCAGCGGCTCCAGCTGCAGATCGTGCATTGATGTGGGAGTTTCCAAAAATTAGGGTGCCTTGTTTTGGGGTCCTTATCATAATGGTCCTACTACTTAGGGTGCTATATTAGGGTCCCCTATTTTCGGAAAGTCCCATGTGGTCATCATGACCGAAACAAGGACTGGACATGTGGTTGCTCTGTGCTCATTTCGTGCTCGGTTCCTACCTGCCTGAGCATATCGACTTTTCCCAATTGCTGGTATACAATGAATAAGCCTGCTGTTTAGGATGATAGCCAAGTACCTACCATATGGACGCTCGAAGCTGGTGTTGCAGGCCGGCCTTTACTTCGTGCTACCCTTACCACGACCTCACTTGCAGCCCTTCTTACGAAGCCGCCTGATCCTCTGAGTGGCCTCTACGAGTTACACAGACTCAACGTCTAGAGTCTTCGGTTCTGCTTAGTGTCCACGGTGTGGGAGTCTTCGGTGCCGTGCTAGTTGTTATCAGGTCAGTACTTTGGGAGATTGCCCTCTCGTACCGGCCAACACAACTGTTCTAATCTTGGGGTACATTAGTATTTCGGAGTTGAAAAGTGTCCAACCGATGATATTGCAATTCCGTGGGGCCCCCTCCCGCGAACGGCTTGCCAAATTGAAACTAGCATTTTACAGTGCTTGCGGAAAACACGAACCACCAAAAGCTCCCCACATAGCCAAAATACTCGACAACCTAACCTGTTCTCACCAAGCCCCTGGCCGTCTGGTTGTCAGAAGATGCGTTGGGTGCTTCCCCCTGCATACAAAGCCCCGGTCGAGATGTTTTCTTGAGATGGTAAGGCCTTCCTCCGCTGCTCTTGGCACTCGTCACAGAAGTGGTGGTGGTAGTGGCAGTGGCAGTGGCAGTGGCAGAGGCAGTGGCAGTAGCAGTGGCAGTGGCAGTGGCAGTGGCAGTGGCAGTGGCAGTGGCCGTGGCCGTGGCAGTGGGAGTGGTAGTGGTAGTGGTAGTGGTAGTGGTAGTGGTAGTGGTAGTGGTAGTGGTAGTGGTAGAGGTAGAGGTAGTGGTAGTGGTAGTGGTAGTGGTAGTGGTAGTAATAGTAGTAATAGTAGTAATAGTAGTAGTAGTAGTAGTAGTAGTAGTAGGAGGAGGAGGAGGAGGAGTAGGAGTAGGAGGAGTAGGCAGTAGTAGGCAGTAGTACTAGTAGTACTATAGTAG